TGTGTACAGACCTCACTGTGTTCAGTCTGTACTCACGACCTCGGTCAAGATTCTCCCATACAGACCTCCTGCTCGGTTAATAAGAGCTAAGTATTAAAAGACCTTGAAAGGGTCAAGTAGCATTTTTGTGAATGGTTGATAACTCTGAAATACTGTTTTTCCATAAACAGTGACAAGTATATGAGGCAATAGAGTGATTTAAATATATAGCAACAGTATCTATATTGATATTTGAATTATATGAAGGTTTTCTGCATTTCTGTGACAGCTCTTTGTCGGCAAACTTTTTGATACAGGTTTCAAACAATAGAAATTACCATAAAAGTCAAGTTTAAGCTGTCCACGTCCACTTAATAGTGGTGTCCATTCAATACAGGTATTTTTTACAGTGAATGTGGGAAAAGAAAAAATGGAAAAAATGTGTCCGCTTAATATGGGGTCCGCTTATTACAGGTTTAACTGTAGACTACATAGCCAATCTCAAATCGTAGTAAAACCAAAATCAAAACCAAAGTACAATGTAAATGTCTGATTACTTTAAACACTAAATTGAAAACATCTCTATAGCCAAAATGCAATAACATTTTAGTTTACGCGTAAGAAAACATGTCACATGGTATTATCTATTAGCTTATGTCTTAATTTTGTGACAGATGAAAGGCTAGGGTGCAAACTTTCAAATGAGTGCTTTTGAGCTCTGCTTTCTTGTGCCACTGTTTGTTTTAAAATATTTTACAAAAATGAAACATTTGGGATTTTTTTGTGTGTCACTTTGTACACGTGACAGGGATTTCATTAACATGTTTACCAGGAGGGCAACTGGTTTTCACAGGCGGGTAAAATTTTTTGCACTGAACTTTTTTACAAGTCAGAATAACTTTCCGCTAGATGGTCAAACCAAGCGCGCAAAATTGTTTCCGCAGCCAGTCAATTTACCCGGTGCCTGGCTCTTAGTTTAATGAGATCCCTGCGTGACACTCTTGTGAATGACACAGTCATCAGTTGGCAACTGCTTGTGAGGCATAAGAAAATTTATTGAAATGCAAGTGAAAGAGATAGAGAAAATAATACGTGTAACTGCTGTGGAAAAAGCAAATTTTCCAGAGTGTTTTTAATTAGTGTTTTCTACCACCCCAGGCCTATCAAAGACCCCATATTAGAGTTCCCTGTTTTTATCAACTAGATTATGAGTTCGAGATTTCTATCACATGATAGTTGATGAGGGTGCAGCTATCAATAAAGGGGGTTGATGAGAGGTCAACTATCACGCATAGAAATCAAGTGTGAATAATCTAATTGTCTTAGTATAAATCTACTAGTCTTTCAAAACTTTTTCTAAATTCTCTTCAGACACTGAAAATGCGAGAAGTGGCCACGAGTTTTCTAATATTAGTGCATACTGCTGAGCTACTCACTATCTATGACAGAATATACTGTATAGTGAGAAGCATAATCAATCAGAGGACGGCATTTGTGATAGAATGCTAGTAGATTTATACCAGAGAACATAGGAAGATGGCTTTCAGCTGGAGTCAGATGTCATGTTACACGTGTCCATAGTAATTTCTTGTAATTAATTAAATAAGATTTCTTCTTTCAGTGTAAGCCACAGTATGACCCCACAGGACGTACTCTCTATCAGCGGGCTTGTCAGAAACTCGGCATCATTCCAGCTTCCTACTTTGTGCGACACATGATTGAGCCAACTGTTACCATGATGCATCATGGCCTTGGTCCACTAGGCATTCGTGCAATGGCTTTGGCACTTTTGTATAACACAAAAGTTACAAGCCTGAACATAAGGGATAACGGAATTGGAGAGGAAGGAGGCGCAATCATGGCTAAGCTATTAAGAGAAAACTACTTTATAGTGGAGCTGGATATGTCAGAAAATCAGCTTGGTCGAGGAGCCATTGCTGAGATAGCAGAAACTCTTAAAGAGAACAATACATTGACAAAGCTTGGACTTGCAGGAAATTCCCTGGATGACAAAGATGCTGATGTGATATGCCAATCACTGCTTGTAAACAACACACTAAGCAACTTGGATCTGAGCTGCAATAAATTCTCTAACAAAGCTTGTGAGTTCTTCACAAAGGTTCTGGATGAGAATATCACCTTGTGCGAGCTTGATCTTAGTTGGAACCATATTCAGGTGAAAGGAGGACAAGCCCTTGCCAAAGGACTGAGAGGAAACGTGAAGCTTAAATCTCTCAACTTGGCATGGAATGGTTTATCAGATGATGGAGCACGTGCGATAGCTGCAGCTTTGCTTGAAAATGGAACACTGCAAGTTTTAGACTTAAGTTGCAATAGAATCTCAGATACAGGAGTTTTTAGTATTGCAAGATCTTTAGAAAGCAATTCATCACTTGAAGTGTTAAGACTCTCAAAGAACAACCTGCAAAACAATGGAGCCTGTGCCATACTGAACTCCATCGTCAAAAATGGAGACAGTAGAATATCCAAGATTGACCTCACCGGCGTCATCGTTAAAGAGGAGTTCAACTTAATTGCAGATGAATTGAGAAAACTGAAGCAGGTTGAAATCATCACAGATGAGACACCTGAAGTGAGAAGCAAACGAGAAGAACCCGACCCAGGTACACTTCTCCGTAACTACATTGCCAAGGAACATGTACTTGTGGTTGACTTATTTCGTAAGTTAGATCATGATGGCAGCATGCAAGTGAGTGTCAAGGAATTTGCCGAAGGTCTGCGGAAATCACACGTTGGGATGACACAGTACGAGGTGGATAAAATCATTGACATACTGGATGCTGACAAAGATGGAGAAATTGACTACAGTGAGTTTGTTTGCATTCAAGCTGAATGGAAGAGCGAAGAAAAAGGGAAGAGAAAGATTTCTTCAAAAGGACCTAACTAGAATACCCATGAAGCAAAACTATTTTGTAAGTTGCTTGAGCAGCTTTTGCTGAAAGAAAAATTGTATTGTTCCTCACCACAGCTTTGCCTTTTTTGCTATCGCTTCCTGAATTCCATGACAAAGTTTTTAAAATAAGGTTGCACTATCAGAATTCACTAAAATCCCAACATGTTTGGTATTGAACGTGTAGATGGTGATAGAAAATGTCAAGTCAAAGTAGCCATTATATTATACACTGTACATTTCACACCTGTGGAGGAGCAATGGCCTAAGATTATCATGCTGGAGCTCATATCAAATGGTCAGGGTTAACGCCCTGGCAAGGGACATTGTGTTATGTTCTTGGGCGAGCCACTTTACTCTGAGTTCCTCTCTCCACCTAGGATTGTAATGTAAATGGGCACGCCACTTGCAAATTTAATGCAGGGGGGAGGGAGTAAACCTGCAATGGACTAGCATTCCTCCCAGGGGGGAGAAGAACATTAATACTTAGAACTACCTGTAGTTGCTTAATGCCAAGGAAAGTGGGATAAGCTCCAGCCCTATGGATAACTTGGCCTGACACCGACTTTACCTTACATATCATATCTGACATTTTAGCTGACACTTTATGCAATTTTTTGTACATTTTTGTTTTCCATCGTTTTCTATCATCTGTAGTCAGACTTGAACTCAGTTATTTTGAATTCCCTGTTACCTCAATCTGAGGTAAATGAGGCCAGTGATCTTCAGTCATTTACTATCAGCCATTTCAAATTCCCACTATTTTGAACTATTTTTCGTTTCCCTTGAGAGTTCTAGATAGCGGGGTTCAACTGAGTGTATTTTAGCAGTAACATTACAAACTTGTATTTCGCTACTTCTAATTGTCCTCCATATTTCAAATTTTTTGTCACCTCTATACATGAAAGTTTACTTTTGACCAATATTTTCCTGGAACTCAGGGATTCAGATAATTATGTTTGAGGAAACCAATAAATTATTGATTTCAGTGAACAACTATATGCAAAAGTATGGACACTCTACAGATGATCTGGAGATACATGACCAATATTTTTAACTGGTCATATCCTTTTTTATACAAATTATTTTTGTTGTTTTTTACTTTCTTTTCTGAATTTGCACATCACCTAAAGAACTCCAGGAAAGAAAGTTTTGCAACAGTACTAGATTAGAGGAAACATTTCTTTTGAGCTCAACTCATTGTACAGTGCATAGTTGCCGGGAGTTTAGTGAACAAAACTCTACAAAAAAAATGCCAGATCTGTTTTGATGAAAACAAGTTGCAAAGTTTATAGGAAATTAAAATTAAAATGAATTTTAATCTATTAATTTATTAGAGAGATAACTTATTAGTATCTCTCACCAAACTGTTAAATAAGATTTTGATGACGTTTATGAAATAAAATTCTGATTATGATCATGAAGTGTCATAGGGGAAAGAATTTGTTGCACTGCAGTTTACAGTTTATGTATTTTAATGTAATTCTGTATTATTTTCCCATTTAATTCAGAGTAATTTTGACAGATTGAGCACAACATTGTGTAACAACATTTTTATTAACAGAAGCAGCAAAGTTTGCTTTGGTATATATTATTTACACACATTTAGTCAGCATCTGTACATGTACCACAACTTGTGATTATACACCATTTCCACAATCACATCACTATTTCTAGAAAAAGTGCCTGAGAAGGCAGCCAAATTATTGCACACCCATTTTCTCCCCTGTAATGAAAAAAAAAAATTCCTATACAAGTTGCATATTCCTAGCAATCGCTAGTGTGTCTCCGAGCTGTCGCTAATGAATGCCTGTCTTAGAGTTGAACTGTTATCTACTCATTATCATTATTTTGGCCTTGGTTGAAGACCCTGGCGATCATGTCACAAGACATCACAAAAGTCACAGAGATAACTTTCTCAGGCATTGCAGTCCTTCCTGAGACTATTATGAAATATGAGGATTTTTCTGCATAATCCAGTTGACAGTTTCTTCCAGAAGTGGCAACTTGTAATGCCTGAAAAAGATCAGATTTGAACAAGACAATTGTAAGTCCAGGTATCAAGCAGTAAACTGGTACTAAACGCTGACAAAAAAATTCTTATACATTCCAAAAATATTCCTTATGGTCAGAAGACAAAATGACCACACACAAAACACACACACACAGCAAGAACTTTAAGTTTCTAACATATCACTACTACTACATAACTACATACATATAACATTTTTTCTTTGTATACCAAACCCTGGCCCACAGATGTAAACAGAATTACACCGGATAAGTTAATAAAGATGGTGAATTTTGAGCTCAGTAATGAAATGTGAAGGTGAATTAATCAACATGACACGAGCGTGGGACAAAATTTTTCTTTGTCCCACACTCATGTCATGTTGATTAATTCACCTTCACATNACACCTATCATATATGAACTCAGTTAAATGACCTTGCTCTCCATGAGTTCTCGTAGCTCAGTGGATAGAGCGCCCGCCCGGTGTTGGGGGGTCATGGGTTCGATTCCTGTCGGGGACTCAGAATTTTTCTTTGTCCCACGCTCGTGTCATGTTGATTAATTCACCTTCACAGAATTACACCTGTTGGTTTGCACTATTGGTATCTTCAGTGGCATAACAACTGGCAGAGATCCCATACTGTATTGACAGGCTTATCAAACCCATTTTCGTATATAAGATGCTGAAGTATTGTTTTATAAATACCTGGCCACATTCCTGAATGTCTTTAACTTGTCAAAAAAGTCATCAATAGGTACAGTGTAGGCAAAGTTGCCAGCACATGTGCAGTATTTTGACATGTTGGTAGCTTTCACCTGTAATTAAAAATATATCAGTCAATACTCCTATACTTCTGGTCCCTCCATCCTACAGAAACCGGGTTAAGTTCCGACTGTGTCAGTTATTGGCCTGATGCAGACTCTTGTAATAATACTCTTGAGTAGAGTATAAAAAAGTATTATGATATAATATAGCCATGTTCCATTACATTCTTATCCCATTCTTAAAAAGTTTAAACCATGAAACCTCAAGTTTGGCATGTCTAGATCAGAGCAAATTCCCAAGGGAGAGGGAGAGGGGTATTCTATAAAGTTTCATACCGGGAGGCCCTTTCCCAAGGTCCCACCCCTTACCCTTTTGTAAACCATTTTGACAAAAAAGGTACCCCATATACTTTTTTATTGAAAAAAGGTACTCTTCTAAATACCGACACTGTATCCCTTTTCTAAACCCCTGCAATTAACTTAGTGAACAATCCTACATCACAGTCCTTCATAACTAGAAGAGATGTTCACCAGACAACAAGAGTTTTATATGCAGTTCTTTCTCACATTGGACTTAAAGTTATAATTGAAGGGTTTCGTGCAAAAAGGGTGTATGTAGCATTTTGGGCCGATTTTTATTTTTTGCAGGATCGAGCTAATTTTTGGCAGACTGAGTTTTTTGCATACGTTATTTCTCGATAACGAAGCGCAAATCAACAAAAACAATTACGCAACGATGCTTTTCATGTCAAAACAAGTCAGTCTGCCAAAAATTAGCTTGATCCTGCAAAAAATAAAAATCGGCCCAGAATGCTACATACACCCTTTTTGCGTGAAACCCTTCAATTTTTGTAAATAGTGCAAAACAATAAAAATCTAAAATCTGAATCTGACTTAAATAATATATTTCCCTACCCTTTCATATACCTCAACCTATGAAATCCCTACCCTTTTCTAGACCTGAAGCCTGGAAAAGGTAACCCTTTCAGGCAGAACCTCCCTGTAAAGGCTATTACTGGCAGTACCCCTGGGAGTGAATTACCGGTATTCCACTCCCTGTATGGTTGAGAGAACCATTACCTGCCAATAGACCAATTGTGATATATTAAAATTCAGCCTAACACTATAGACCTCGGCATGAGGCTGTGGGGAATAAACCCCAGAAACTCTGCAGTTATTCCGCATAGCCTTGTACTGAGGTCTATTGTTTTAGGCTGAATTTTAATGTATCGAAATTGGTCTATTGCCCTCCCTCAAGCCATCTCAAGAGAAGAGTCTGATGTAATGTTTAGCAAAATAAGTAGCAGGCACAAGCCAGAATACTCACTCCATGACATTTGCCACATTTCAAGTCCTGAAGAACAAATGCCATTGATTGTTTTTGCACCATGTCAATTAGCTGACTTTCTATGAAGTCCATGTCATATTCACTGCCACATTCTAAATTGGCACATCTGCAACATGCACTGTAAAAAAAGAAAGGAAAAAAAATCTTATTCAAACTTTTTCAATTTTTTTTCTGTGACATCCCACTGTAACTATGTTGTCTATCGGCCATTTTGGAGTTGTGCAAGGAACTGGGATGAGTTTCAAATCTTATATTGATAACCTGACACCACCACCAAAAAGATGACATTGAGACTGGTAGTTTGATCAAGTTTGATGTTTTTAGGTTGAACAGAGACCACGTTATGGACTTTGAAATGTAGTTAAAAATCCTCATAAACAGCACCCCCCTCCTCCCACAGAAAAATCATGTAAACTCTTATTTTGTGACAACTGTAAAATACCGTCATGCGCCTACTATTTGGAAGAAGGTGAGATGAAAATCACCAGGTTTTTGTCCATGTTTAAGAGTAACAAAGAATTCATAAAAAAATTTAAGAGTTTATATGGCTACATTACATTAGCATTACATACGGATTGCTTCCTTGTGCTGGAGTTATGAAGGGGTCCCTGCACAAGTCAAGATCACGACATGAGTTACAGGACAGACAAATAACCTGTTGGAAGATGTCAAGGAATACATTAGAAGCATTTCAGACAAGGTGGCTACTGGAGAACCTCCAAAATCATTCATAGTGAGCTTCTGAAGAATTCTCTGAGCGTTAAGACTTTCTCCAACTGACTGAGGACTGCAGGAGTGGATCCAGGATTTTTCAGGGGGGAGGGGTGTATGGTACCTTGAGGTTGAAGAATCAATGGAACATGTCCCCAAAATGTAGCAATTTGACAATTGGAAACTAATTGAAAATTATTTCACTAAAAATAGTAGCAATGTCACAATGTAGAAATTACGATGAGGAACCTGTCCAGAGAGTTTGCCTCTATTTCTGCCACAATATTCACAGTTCCTTTTACAATATTTTCAAGTTTTGCTTCTTCAAAGGGGGGTGATTAGGCAACCAATCCCGCCCCCACAAATCTACCCCAGGGGCTGAGATGCTACTTGAACCAGCATGCAAAGAAAGTCATCTACAATAGCCCAAGGCAGGTGGAAAACCGATTTTTGGTGCACACTGACTTGAACCCAGGTGACTGACTGGTTTTATACTGTATCCTCAGAATCACAGTTATCTAACCCAGGAAGAGAGGACATGGGTAGTGGTAAATCATAATATGATGTTGGGCAACCCGGCAAAATCGCTGATAAGAAACAGCAAACCAGTGATGGACCATCCCCAGAGAGGGAGATACAACACTCCTTGTCACTTTTTCTTCAGAAACCAGAGTTCAGAGTTCAGTGACATGTTCATGTGACATGTCTATGCAAAGTGTGTTATGTATTGTTACTCACGCAACACACTACAGCACAATTGTAAGAGCTAAGACATAGACTATCAGGGAAGTAGATAGCCCCCTATGGAGATGCTCACTGTGCTCATCATGTGCTCCTCTCCATAAATCATTTTGCAGAAGTTACTCTACAGGTGTCGATTTCCATGCTAGCATAGCTCATTATTGGCTACAATGTGATTCAATAGACAAGTGCTGATTGGTTACTTCAAAACAAAGGCAAACTGCCAACAAATAGAACTGGTGGTGGAGCATGTGATGAGCACAGAGAGCATCTGTGTAGGCTGGGAAGAAGATAGAAGTACGAGAAAGAAACTCCGAACCTCAAGTAACCACACAAAAGTAAAATTGCAAAACCACCAGTACCACTAATACTGAGCAACAATATTGTGCTGTTACCATTATCCCAACAATAAATACCAAAGTGAAACCAAAAAAAATATCCAGGAGTTAAGGGTGAAGTTAACGTTGAAATGTAAATAGTGAGTCTGCGCACCTCTGGAAGTACAAGTGAAGAGCAAGGATCCCTAAATGCTGCTTCTAAAGAAAATTCTCCAATACCAAGGAGTCTTAACAAGTCACGTCTGAAGATTAACACAAGCATCATGTTAGTTGATTAAACATCCCACTAGAAGTATGTGCCAGATTGGGATTCCTGCTTGTCTTCCTTGAAACATAATAGCTGATATGAATAACAGGATTGGTATTGAAAACTTTAAGCTTTTAGCCCTGCGCTGAATATTCACTTTCTGTTTTGGTTTCCATACATTTTGTTAAGTATCAGTCATGGTAATTAAGAAAATTAGATGATGCAAAGTGCTGGAAAACAAGAGCAAACAAGGTTTTACTTCTGATAGAATGAAAGAGTGGTGCAAGGTTTTTAAGTCAATTGTGTAGCATAGTGATACAAAACCAATTACTTTTTGACACTCAAATTAAAACTGTTCTAATTGACCACTCCCCAATATTTCAGGGCCAATGGAAACAAACAGTGAAATAAATATCTCAGATAGACATACAATTGTTAAAAATCTCAACTGGTAGGAGGAACCTGGCACCACAGAGGAAAAACTCCAGCTAGAGGCAAGAGTGGAGTGCATGAACCGAGGACTCCGGATTACAAGATCGGCACCCTAAACCACTTGGCCACATTTCATCAAGACAATATCCTGTAGTTGATGATTTACTTTATTCTCAGTACCATTTTGCATGACAGTGTATTGATATTGTAAAGAGAAATTAAATGTTGATCATTCTTGCACAAATTCAACTACTGTATAACAAAAGAATCTCACTGCTGACACCATAGGATTAAATAATTTAGAGTATGGTTCTCAAGTCAGTTACGGTATCTGCTAAGAAACTAAATCTTAGAACTCTTGATAAAAGCATGATATTGGAAAGGAGGTTTGTATACCTTAGCTTGTTCACTTGATGCTGTGTGTTGGAATCTAGTGACAAAACCTGGAAAAAAATCACAAAATAATTAAATAAAAAAAATTAAAAAAAAAAAGAATCAATCAAAGTGAAGCCAATCAAATCTTTTTCCCTACATTGCAATCTTTGGTTCAATCAGCATAAATTTCTCTCAAAAATTGCATACTTAAAAAATAATTTCCATCCCTAAAATTTGTAGGCATGCCTGTCCAGGATTCTGATCTTGCTTATTTGTGAATCCTGACTGACACTGAAACCGTCTTAAGTCCTCTTCATCCCGGATGGTACATAAGACAACCAACACTGAAAGCTGACATGTAATTTCTTGGGAATATGTTTTCAGCAAACCACTTGCTACAAAGCTATCGTGATCAATATTTATTGCAACACAGATTGTAAACCAGCAGATCAACCAGCATTACCTTACAAATGAACTTCACAAACTCCAAGGCTGGGTTGTTCAAAGGAAGATGGGATCCTGGTAGAAGAGGGAACTCTACACTAGGGTCTGTGTTTGAGGATCGGTCTCCTGACAAAGTGTGTTGTATCTTCTGTGTTACCCTACACAAAAAACAATGATATTCCTTTATTGAAAAGTGGATCATGTGTACTAAATGCTTTTGCAGTCGAGTGTCAATCAATACCCTTGATCAATACCCTGGATCAACACTCGATGGACATCTCAATCAACACTTCAGTTGACACTCTATCAACATCTCCGTCAATTGATCAATTGAACAGTCAGTCAAGAGTCGACTAATTTACTGCAGACTGTTGATGGAGTGTCAACCGAGTATCGATCGAGATGTCCATCAAGTGTCAATTGATACCATGGATGCCTTTAGTACACATGATCCTGAAAAGTTACATTAGAACACTACTTTCTGTGAAGATCAAGAGGTTTGGACTTTTGTCCACACTGCATTTTGTGAGCGAGGCACTAGCTGTTATTCTAAGATGTTCATATCATCTAAAATTCTTTATTTGTCAGCTGATTTTGCAATCTATTGACAAAGTAATTATATACTTACGAGAACAGGGTCTGTGTCAGCTCTCCAGAAATTCTCTCCTGGGCAAATGTTACTAAACTGGGAGTAGCTGAGGTTTCTGCAACTCTCTGTTTAAGAGTAAACATTGAATCAGTCTGTTCAGTCAAATTTGTAGTCACAAAACGTCCCATAATAAGGGAGTGACTCACCTAAAAAGAGGGCATCTCCAATTAGGGCTTACCTTCTGTAAGGGACATCTATGATAAGGGGACAAAATCCAGCAGAGGAGAACTAGACCTCTTGTCAGGGCACAACGTCTGTTAGAGGACTACTCTTACAGAAGGATACCTCAATAAGGACTTACCTCTTGAATCAGGACATACCAGTATGAGACCTGATTAATAAAAATAACTAACTAGGGGAAACTGCATCAAGTGATGGACCACCAAATTCTCAAGCTACATTTAACATTAAATCTATATCTCAGTAAGGAGAATTGATATTTTGAACTTGGTTCCACTGGCACCTGTGATTGGGAGCTTGTTCTTTTCTTGATGGGAGTATTTCCAGGCTCAATGCGTTGCCTTTCTTCCAAGGTATGGGTGTAAATTGCATGAATGTGACTAGCAATGACAATCTACAGGAAATAAAACTGCCAATGTTAGAAACACATGATAAAAAGCCCCAGTTAACTCCTGCCTTAACTCATACAGGAAGATCAGTGGGAAGTCAGAACAAGGAAATGCACAACATCATCTCTGGAAGTAAGTAATTACAGAAATTGACAAACAATTGTTTAAGGTATGGCACTTGAATCTGACCAATGATTTGCACTTCCCCAAAAACATCTCATTCATACAATGATTGACAAAGCTCCGACATGTTGTAACATTCAAATAATAGCCTCTCCCCCCCCCCCAAAAAAAGGTATTCTTCAATAGCCCCTCCAGGAGAAAAGGGGTTTATGCCTAAGTTTAGCTTGTAAATAAAGCTTTTAGAGAGCTTGTTTACTGTAGTATTCTGAGAGATCTGAGAAGTTCAGTAGACTGAAAAGCTTTTTTTTTTCATTTTCTTCTACAGGGCAAGTTTAACCTGCCAGCATCATTAAATACCTTACATGTTTCAACCACAATTTCTCTTCCAAACATAAAGACTGTAAACAAGCTCATCAGAAAAGCCTTTTGAGCAAATGCATGCCCGGAACTTATTATCATAATGTCACAGTATTTGCCATATACACTGAGTGATCGACATATACTGGCACAGTAACAAAGTTGGCCAACGCTCTTCAGACACAGACATATAGCATATAGATACCTGAAAATAACTCTGACAAGACGCAGCTGTGGGGAGGTACTTCTTCATGTTCCAGTTCATTTCCACATTGGGCTGGAAAAGGAATCAAAACTAGACTTAGTTGACACCCAAAACACTTTCTCCCAAATAATTTTATGACAAATGTATGGATACCAGTAAAGAGAATTTGGATCATGTGTACTAAAGGCATCCGTGGTGGAGTGTCGATTGATACCCTCAATCTACCCTCAATCGACATCTCGATCAACGTCAACATCTCAATTGATACTTGGTTGACACTAGATCAACACTTGATTGGCAGTTGGTCGATAGTTGACTGAGTGTTGACCAAGTTATATGTATCAATCGACACTTCATGGCATGTCTGCAAAAATTAGACGTAAGATCAGGGGTACTGATCGACACTCAACCGCAGATGCCCTTACTACACATGATCCGAGAATTTGTACATTTTCACTTAAGACATACAGGTACTTAAATATGCAGGGAAGATGCTCTGTGTAAAATAAAGTTGGTACCAATTAGGAGTCTCAAGAACATCTTTCTCTCATAGTCATACATAACACAAGGAAAGGATTTAGTTTAGCCAATGTATTGCAAAATGGCTAAAATGTTGGAATATCATGAATCTCAGCTAGAAACAACTAATTATCAGTTACATTGATTGACACTTCTTAAACTCACTAATAATCCATCAAGTTAAGACAAAGATAATCACGACCGAGAATGAGGTTTGGATACCCGGTCTTCATTAGCATAGATTTTGAGGATTTTACTTCTCCATTTACTCCTTAGTTTTTGTTTCGATTGAGAAGATATATCAAACACTTGAGACAGTGTTTCATTGGCTATCCAACACCTCGAATTTTGTCAAAAATACTCTGCCCTGCGATGTATTTTCAACTCTCTTCTCAGTGTTTGGATATCCCCATGAAACACTGTTTCTCATGTTTGATATCTTACATCAAAATTTGTTACATGTCACTATTTTGTTTTACTTCATCATCAGGAGTAGCCACCAATTCATCACTGCTGTTCTCTAGATCTGCTGTGCCTTCTATAGCCTCCTGTTCCTCTACATCTTTAGGGAGCTTGCCTCGCACACCACCATGGTTAGCCTGGCAAAAAAGGGTATTTTTACAGCTACATTTAATAATGATTCACTACTTGTATAATAATTTGTCAGAACTAACACATTAGTTCTTGCTTTTCAGTCAACCCCCTCCAGTTACAACTGGAAAACCATAGCAAAATCTCAAACCTTAGGATTACACAGTGGCAAAATGGCTTTGTATGCCCTAGAAAGGTTTCTAGAGCTTTAGAGAAATGGGCCCCTAGGTTGGCTATTCAACTGGGCTATTGTTTCTGATCCTTTGGAAAAAGGCATCATACCAGTTGCTTACTCCTACAACAAAACCACCAACTTCAAAACTTTAATTGTAACAACCCCGACCTCTTCTTTACAAAAAATAATAAATGAAGTCATCTCTGCCATCTTTCCTCCTGGTACTAAATATAAGATTTACTGTGCCTAAAATCATAACTTGAAGTAACATGAAGGCCCTCTGAGAAATTTATGTCTAGAGGAACAAAGAAAGAAAGCAATTTGCTTGACAAGTTGCTTGGATCGTGTGTACTAAAGGCATCCACAGTCAAGTGTCAATCGATACCTTCAATCCATACTTTTGATCAACACCCTCAATCCATACCCTTGATCGACCCTCTATCAACACCTCAGTTGACAATAAATCAACACTCAATCCACATCATGGTCGACAGTCAAGTAATTTTTGATCGATGCTTATGAGTGTCGACCAAGCACCGATCAGGATGTCAATCAAGTTTCAATCAAAATGTTGATAGAATGCGGATCAAGGGTATCAATGGACACTCAACCGCAGATGCCTTTAGTACACATGATCCAGTTGTTCTTTACCTGGTCCATCCACATAAGATACTCCCAGCACGATTCAGGTTTAATCTCAATGCTATGAAACAAGTCCTTTTTGCGTATACTATTAAGAATGAAATCCACATAGGCCTTGGCATCAGATACACTGTGAGAGAGTGACAAAACAATGTCATTTTTAGGTGTTGTGTGACATGACACTGTAGACACGAAAATGTGCTCTTCTTACCTTCTCTTCTTGGTGCAAATAATAATCTTGCTGAGGCTCGCAAACACAATGGTGGAACCAAGACGCTTGAATTCTGCAACAAGCTGGGGAAAAAAACAAATATATATTGGAAATATTGATAGTTGGAACGTGTACTTAAAAACATATCCTGTTCTTAAAAATCTTGGACTAAGTGGAGGCTTTTTAGAGAGGGAGTCAAAAAAGGGGCAGTTTAGCAGAGAGGGGACTGTTCCTGGAGAGTGCACTAAATAAAGGAAGGATTACAAGAATTAGAGGTAATAGGAAGTGGATAAGAGGCTATAAGAGATGAGAATAAAAAAACAGCAGTTGGTTGTTTTATTAAATACAGAGATAGAGGTGAGAGGAGTGGTTCCTTAGAGGATGGCCTTGAAAAAGAAAGGGAATAATAAAGACAGGGCTTAGTAAAGTAGGAAAGATTGTTAAAGAGAGGATTAAGGGGGGGAGTAGTTATGAAAGAGTGAGGTTAAATAGAACAGGGGGTTATCAGATATGGGGTCAAATTGAGAAGAAGATCAAGATATAAGATAGAAGGAGTGGTAGTTTCTTGGTGAGTGGCCTTATATTGCAAGGGACTATAGAGGGGGGCTTAACAAGATGGGAAAAACTTTTAGATAGGGGGAGGAGCTAAACATTGGGTAGCAGATATTAAAGAGAGGTTAGCTAAATGGAATGGGGAGGTTATTAAAATGGGGTCTAAAGACATAGAGGAAGAGTTATTGTAAGCGATGGACAACTAAAGGAGGAAAGGTTGCCAGAGAAGAGAGGTATATAAACAAAGGTGAAACACTGTTCCCATGAACCCTACTGGCTTGTAATAAAGGATAAAGATTACAGAACAAATAACTTGAGAATTGACATCACACCTGCATGTAAAGCTTCTTCATCATCCTCTGCACCATTCTACAAAGAGCTGGATCATACAGCAGAGCTGATGGAGATGACAGCCATCTGCAAGTGTACATAGACAATGCAAACTGAAGTTATCAAATGGTCTTCTCCTTCACATCTGATGTGGCAAGAGAAACTGCCAGGGAACCTTGGAAATGTTGGGAAAAGTAAAAGGTAAAGTCTGCATACGAGCCAAGTGACCCATCAGGCTGGAACGTATCCGGGATTCTGTAGCATGAAACGACTAGGAGTATTTCTACTATCCCCTGGATGGAATGCTTGTCCATTGTAGGGTTACCGCCAGCATTAAATTTGCCGGTACCTATTTATACACCTGGGTGGGGAGAGTCACTGTGAGAGTAAAGTGTCTTGACTTAGAACACAACAGAATGTCCCTGGCCAGGACTTGAATCTGGACCGCTTGATCCGAAGATGAGCGCACTAACCATGAGGCCACCGTGCCTCCCACTTTGAAAGCAATACCATCATGGCTAAATTGACCAATCACTTTCAACGGACCAGACTTATAACATCGTCAACTGACAAACACTATTCACTTGACTCCGCAGATGACTTCCGCTCAGGTTGTAGAAACGCCAGTCACCAACAGCGGTTCTTTTCAGAACTACCCTCACGCAAATGATCCCACTATATGAACTATTGACCAATTGTTAATTGAGGGTCAACTGATCTATCAATCAAGTGCTGGTTGAGTGTCGCCCGAGCATTGATTAACAATCAACTGCAGATGCCTTTAGTACACATGATCTGGTTTGACTATAGTTTGATGTTATGTTGGTCTTCATACCTGTAGAAATGCATCAACTGTGTATCTGCATTTAAGTTCTCATAAGTGGACACTTCATGTAACCAGCTGTGAACCATTCCCTTAAGGATTCTGCAACAAAAGGAGCACTTTTATTACACATGCTAATAAGAGATGAGTATGCTGACAACTGCTACAACCAATTAATATCATTTTCAGGACCAGCTCACAGGGTTCCAGGTAAGTTTTCAAGGTTGCGTGTCAACAAGGAACAGGGAAATTGCGACTACTCCCAACAAATTATTATATATTTTCTATTAATTTGTCTGGTCATGTAGCCAACCTTGTAGGGTCTTTACCCTGAAACCCCCCACTTATCTGGAACACTGGCTCATGCCAATCCATTCAGCTCCATCTTATGCTACCAATTGTTTCAGATCAGATTGGCTGATTACTGGTGTGAAACCTTAACAGTCATGAAAAGGGTATCAAATCTCATTACCTAAAGGCACTTGAGCACAAGGCAGCTTCGTCATATGTTGTCAAACTGGATGCCACGCTTGCTCCTCCTTGGACCAACTCCTCCAATGATGCCTAAAAGTTACAAAAAAATGACATGAGGTCACCGCATCTTCAGTAGTAAAGAAGACAACTGATATAGCTAAATTAAGCATAACTTTCTTTCTTTTTGATTAACCCAGTAGCACTATATCAAGGTAATGCTGTGGTTGAAAACTCTTCTACACATTGGCACGTCAAAACCTCACATGTAATGAGTAGAGTGAGATTAAGGTACCTCACTGAATATGTTTCCTACCTGTGGCATACTGTCAAAGCTAACTCCTGTGACAGAACCTCCCTCAAAGTCATTGATGTGTGCAGACTGAAAATATTAACGTACAAACCAGTATTTTAAAAAGATAACACATCAACAAACAGAAGATTGATGCTGTTGCATGCTAAGACTCTTCTGAATGCTAAAGCAGCAAGAATGATAAGGAGCAGCTGTACATTCCACCCTTACTTGTAGCACAGTGTTGACAGCAAAACAGTCAATTGAGAGCTCCACACAAACTGTAGGGTAGCAGCCAGGATTGTTGACTTCAATATTCCCTCCCTCTTCAGACACCGCACTGAGCCTAACATTAGAAATGAAAAATCAAATAGCCAATAAATATTAAAAGATAACATATTGTTAACTAGTTAACTTTCAATCTGGTGACCATATGTTACGAATGCATTTTTCCATGATACTGGTGGCTAACCAAACATGAGGAACACAAACTGGAAGTGGCATTTTCTGACTGATACTTATTCACTCAATGATCAAAATCATGTGGATGAACAAACCTGTTATCATCATCCTCCTTGCCACCGAGATCAGGTCTGTCAGTTGGCGACATCCACAGCAAATGATTGTGCTTTTGAAGGTGACGAGCATAGAAAACATCTGCAGCAAACAGAGTGGGATCTGATGGGACATTCCCTACTGGAACATGAAAGTACTGTGCCAGTTCCAGTTGAGTCTGATGAAAAAATTAAACAAATCAATTATGTCTGGGCATCAGAGAAAGAGCAGTGTACATACTGATGGAGAAATCCTTCCTTTATATAGGTACATGAGGCTTATCAGTCCAGCATTTACTCTGGCTGTCAGAGCACTAAGTAAGCACTGCTAGTGTCCTAGTCCTGGTATGTTTTGTCAGATTTCCCTTACATTTTGCTTGTGCTCATTTAGTATCTCAGGAGAAGACAGTAATAAGTGTCTTCTTCTAGAATGTAGAATAACGACCCCAAAGGCTTTTACCTGGTTAGTAATATTGAACAGAAAACTTTTAAAAACTCTCTAAAATGACTGTAAATACATGGTAGATTTTTCATTTAAGGCCACTTTTTATTTGCCACTAGTTACAAACAAGAAGAAATCTGAAGCAAGCCTCCTCTCGAAGTAGCTTGTGGGAAAGGCTACTGGGGCCAAAACAAAAGATGAGAAGCCATATTCTTCCTGAGTAACAGTCCTGCAAGGGACTGCGAGGTGAGACTCCAGATCTCTTATCATTTGTTAAGTGGTGAGTGAGCCACTGAGACTGAACAAGGGTTTGCAAAGAGCAATGGAAAAATACCTGGCTCTTCTTTGACCATACCATGTAAAATACTCAGACAAATATTCTTCCTACCCATTGTCATTTCTCTTGTTGAATTTCATAACTCTTTTGACCCTTATGTGCATAAAAAAAGGTTAAGTCTGCATACAAGCCAAGTGGCCCATCAAGCTGAAACTTATCCCAGTTTCTGTAGCATGAAGCGACTAGGAGTATTTCTACTCCCCCCTGGATGGGATGCCAGTCCATTGCAGGGTTACCCCCAGCATCAAATTTGCCGGTACCCATTTATACACCTGGGTGGAGAGAGGCACCATGAGAGCTAAGTGTCTTGCCCTAGAACACAACACAATGTCCCCGGCCAGGGCTGGAACCCAGACTGCTCGCTCCGGAGTCGAGCACACTAACAATGAGGCCACCGCACCTCCCACAATGTGTATGTGTATAGTGATCTCTTTATCACTAAAAAACCATAAGGACAAATATTCTGTTCAGACCAACCTGATAAAACATGTCCACTTCAAGATAATGATGAATCATCCTTCTTGCAGCATGACGCTGCCAGTCAAGAACATTGTGCTGAGCAGTACTGTAAGAAAAATATGTCATTGTCCACTTATATTACCACTGCTTACAGAAATTTAGTACCAAACAAAATAATAGGCATCCGAGTCAATTCTGTCCCTGACTCTGTTGAACATAAGTGAACAAAACATATAATGGAGGTTACAAAATAATGTAGTTAACACATTTACTGAGGTGTGCAACTCACTATCACTGGGGTCACTTTGCCATGCTGAAATCCAAATATTAAAGCACAGCAAGTCAAAAGAAGTGATTTTGGGGGTCTATAATGTTCATACCTGTCACTGTATGGCAGACACACAAGAGGGAACTCTTGGAGACCAGGAATAGATGATGTGAGGTGACTGAGATCTAAAGAAGAAATAGATACAAAACAATAGTTTGTCATAAATCAACTGTTGATTAACAATAAACTTTTTGAAAATTGAAAATAGGGAACTTTCCTTGGAGAAATTTGCAACAAATTCTTAGATCTGTTGTTGATATTTTTGAACTGGAAATTAATGATTATATAATTCATTGATGATAAGGATGACAATGTTTATAATAATTCACCTAGGACATTCTTTTCACAAGCAGATTATAAGGCATGCCAGAGTCATTTGCAAATAGTTTCAGAAAGCATGTCCCTCAACAGCACTATTTGCTGGAAATGCAATTTTTTGTCATTACTGACTCCAATAAAATGACTATGAGTGACTCAAATCTAAATGGCCGTACCAATATGAAAATAAAATATCTTTTACCCCAAGGAGACTGAACCAAGATCATTGTGGGTCCTCGCTTCTCTTCTTTGTAGGTCATGAGGAATCTTTGAATTGCTCTGTAGGTCTGTAAAGATGTACATCACAAAGAAATTAACTCCGTAAACATCGCAGTTTCAATTTTAATAATAGTCATGTTATACTTCATACCTGTCTGGAATCAGTATCAACTCTGACATCAAATGTAAAATTCTCTGCTGGGAGAAAACTCTCATCTCCATCCCTTTCCGCTCTGTAGGAGATGACTTTAGTTTAGTAAGTGAACACAACATCCCAAGGGAGACAATCCTTCCAACCACAAATAATCATGTTACATCAAGTTTCATATTACATTGACAAATCATACAAGCCAAATGAGTCAGCTAGGTTAGACAGGAAAGTCAAGTCAGGCAGGTTCCCCTGGGTCAGAAGGATCAAATAGGTCTGACCAGTTTGCACTGGTCAAATGGGGCAGGCAAGTACATGTATGCTGGGTCTGACATGGGTCCCATTTGGAAAGGTTGAACTGGTCAATTGGGTCTAACAGATTGGACTGCTCAAATGGGTCTGACCAGGACAAGTCAAGTGGGGCAGGCAGGTTAAACACAGATCAAATGGGTCCACAGCCCAGACTAGTTTAATAGTTTGGACAGGTTGGAGTGGTTTTATGGGTCTAATAGATTGGAAATTAGACTAGTCAAATAGGTACCATAGCCCAGACTGCTTTAATAGTTTGGACAGTTTGGAGTGGTCAAATGGGTCTAACAGATTGGACTAGTCAAATAGGTCTAATAGCCCAGACTGCTTTGATAGTTTGGACAGGTTGGAGTGGTCAAATGGGTCTAACAGATTGGACCAGTCAAATAGCTTTTACCAGTTTGACTAGTCAAAATTATGGGGTAGACAGTTAGACAGTGTCAATAGTTTGAACAGGTTAGACCAGCGAAACAGCTGCGATGGGTTGGATTGATTAGATGGATCAGAAAAGTAAATGGTTCTTACAAGTTGCACCAGCCACATACACTCATAACAGACAACAGCACATCTCAAACACATCTTAGTTACAAGATTTTTTTTTGTTCTGGTCTTCATACCTTGCAGTTCTTTCTGTTTGATACAGAGATGACAGGTTGGGCATTTGGTTATTTCTCACTGCATCTATTACAAACACAGAAGCCTGCAGAACCAAAATGCAAGATAAAGGGGTAAGAATTAAACAATAATTTTATTACTTTACGTATGTTTTATCATTCAGGAAGAGGAGTGAGTCCTGCACTAGCCAAATACAAGGAGCTTTAATTGCATTCATTTATTATGTTTATACTGAACCTCACCTTGCGAGAAGCAGGGACAAAGATAGCAAGTATAACACGATTATCTCTGCAAAAGATACCGGCAAGATAATAATGTCAATGAAAATAAATAAATTAATACCAATATCAAACCTGAGTAATGTTCACAAAGGCATATCCATAGAATGGCTTGAAATAAATCACATTGAATTCAGAATGAAAATTGCCTGGTAGCAATGTTGGTTGCTTTTTGGTTGCAAAAGTGATAATTGAGCAAAAAAAAAAATCAGCTGAAGAGATATCAGGAGTTTGTAGTCTGATGACAATTCACTGCATGACTACTAAACAGAAAAACAACTCTTGACGCATGCAGCCGTAAACTTTGCAAACTGTAACCTCTAATGAAGGCAGCCCTTAAATTTAGCTCATCATACATTCTAATGACTACTTCCAAACAAATCCTCAGTGATACAAAAAGACTGAATGAAACCAAAACAATGACCTCTACACAAGGGGACCGAAACAAAAACTTACGAGGAGCTGTGGTAGAAATACATTCTCTTGAGATTCGCATTTTCCATGTAAGAACATTCTGCAAGAGTCTTGAACTCCAGTTGGTCCAGATCGAACGTGTCCAAGTCCTAAAAGAGACAATTAATTTAACAGCTTTAGTTAAATCTTGTTAACATAACTGATGTTATGAAGTTCATAAATCACATCAGTACTGACCTTGCCATTAAAAAGCTTTGCAAAGATCTTGTTCACTTTACAAACACATCCGAGTTTGATTATTGCTCTCATAGACAGTGGCACCTTAAAGTTGAAAAATGTCAAATTTAATTATACTTGGCTCTATCATTAACTCATTTGTGAGTCAAAGTCAGCAAAGAGTGAATAAACCCAAGCATGGTTGTGACATGTGTAACACAAAAAGTTACAGTCAAAGGTCAAGAGTAAAGATTAAAAGTTGAAAGTAAGGGTCACAACTCAAGAGTTAAAGTCAAAAGTCAAGATTAATGTCAAAAGTCAAGTATCAAGGTCACAAGTTAGGAAGATAATACAAAAGATCATAATTCTAAAATTTGAGTCAAATTAGGAAATATTTTGTTTAAATTGATTTACAAACACAATATACATAGGGAAAAACTAAACAAATAAAAAGAGGAAATAATAATATTACAGCATGATACTTACTTACTTACAGTACAATATGATTGTTCAAATTAGGAAAGATACTGTTCTTACTTTGAACAGTCCTTTCCTGGAACCCTTACAATGTATGAACAGATGAAAGAACACCTTGCAATGTGGCATTGTATATTCAAAGCAAAAACGTTGGGTTGCCTCAAGAAACATCCAAAGCCATTGTTGATGGCACATCTTCTGAGAGATGAGCCATTAATTAAAGTAAGCAATGCAAAGCTTGAAATTTACTCTTCCAAAGATATCAAACACTTATAACCTAAACAATAAGGAAGGTTCCAAACCTGTGATTCGTAAATTCCTTCAATGTCAGGAGATGACAAATCTGTAGCTAACTCACTGTCAAAAGAAAAATTAATGCTTTAGAGTTAAACATTGTATTATTGATATTACTAGGAAGTTAAAAAGAAGGAAAAAAAGCTGGACGGGTTTATAAAAATTTACCAAAAATCTGTTTTTAATCAATTCTTACAATGACAGGTTACTTTCTTTCCTTAGTGGCAAATTTTGTATGAGAAAGAATTGCTTGTTATAACAATGAATTCTGGTATTTTAGGGCTCAAATATCTTGCTATTATATCACAATATTTTTTATGCTTTATCCCCCTAAACAGTTAGAAGTTCATCAGGCCTCACATTTTAGTAACAGGAAATCGAATCCAAACAATAATCAATGCATGAGACATGTGCAAATGAGAACTAAACAAAAATTTCTCAGTAGTGGCAACATTTTGTATATATACCAGGGTGCAAAAGAAAACCAATTTTCGGGCATCAAGTACATTGTACAATAGATTTGCCCAAAAGTCATCACCGCTGGAACTCAAAAAGTTTCTTACTAGCATGATTAGCTAATTTAAAATCAATCTTAATACAATAATTTCATCTCTGTCAGTTCTTCTGTAATTTGAATTAACCAAAATATTTTCCAAAAAAATTTCATTAGCCCATTGGTCAAACAAAGGAAATAATCCACCAGTGCGACAGCAAAGTCCACAAGCCCCAGGATAGTGGACATGGCTTTCTATGCATGCTGTATACACTCCTTACCTTGAGTGATCCCTGAATATTTTTTCAGGAACAGTATACTCATACAGGTTAAGAACTGTGTGAGATCGAGGAAGAGTGCGGGAAACTTTCCTCCATGCTGCAAGGACATTATGAAAATGATATCAGAAACAGTCTTGTGTTACAGATGTCTTTACCAGAGCTGGAACTTACATCTGAATTATTAAGACATTCAAGCTTTTTTTGCTAGCTTTACTGGCAACTGCAGAAATGCATTGTGCATCTTTAAGTGTGATCTTAACCTTCAAAAGGGATAATGCGATAAGTGAAAGCCAGACATCAATGCTTTTCTATTAGCTACAAAGTGGATCATGCACCAACAGCATCCGATCTCCCTTGTTGGGATTTGAAATAACCTTAAATGCAAGGTTTGAATGTTTATTCTGTGACCAGAACTCCCATCTGCTGATCTCACAATCGTGGTGAGACTTTAATGATGTAGCAACTGTTTGGCATGCTTTATGGAAGCTATCGAAGTATGTGGACTGGCATGACTTACTTGTACCAGCTCCTTCCTTTGGGGTGTGGCAGTTGACATAGAAAATCCTTGGTACATTGACTTTGATGGCATGGAGATCTGCTCCTACTAATGCCCACACTTTGAATGTACCTGGATCATTTGTCTCAGCAAACTGAAATGAAGGATAAAAATAAAAATTTCATGTCTGCACTTAATAAATAAAATTATAGCTTGAGCTGTTGTAAAGCAATGAGGTGACAAAAGCATGGAAGAAAAACAAGCCCATCTGCCCCCACACTCATCAAGATTACAAAATCTTACCTGAATTATCTGCCAAGGAGTGTCTACAAGAGACCTTGCTTGCTGTCTCATGAAGGTTGACAACCCAGTGGATGGGCCACGCCCAACTGCTAGTGTGCTTATCCCCATGGTGTCTGCCTCTTTCCGTAGGCGCTTCCTCTCAGCTCGCTGTTTGGACTGAAATTCCCACTTTTTCTTTTGAAATGCAAGCCACTTCTCCTTATCTTCCTGCAAGAAGAAATAATCATGTCATCCATACCAAACAGTAAGTTCATTTTCCAGCATATTATGAGTTATTATTTCTGGTACATGTGGTAGAACTGATTCATCAAACAATGAGCAGCACGTTTCACATGGTATCTTCTGTTACTAAACAAGTGG